TTATTGGTCTATAATTTGCAATATAAATGTTTATGATCACAAGGAGTGAACTCATTTTAAATTCTCTGTACAGAAATTTCTTGGCAAATTGTTCCTAAAATTTTTTTGTTTTAATTTCTCAAGATTTTTGATACATTGCTTAAAAGAATTCCATATTTTTTTGCTTTTACTAAATGAAATATTCTGAGGAATATTGATGAGTATTGTTTTTCCAATCCAAGTTGCTCTGATCCTTAAATATATATATATTTTTTAATTATAACGAGCCTTAATCATAAATTTATTTTTTAAATATTATGAAATGCTATTTTTGCACTGAATTTAAATGGAAGTCATAATGAAAAGAAAAAAAATATTGTGGACTCTTTTTAATTTTGTTGTGAATAACTCAAAATATTAGGCGGTGTGAAATATCAATGATTCCCCCACAACACAACAGGACGACTTTATTAATACTTTGAATTATTTTAACTTTTTTGACTATTTTAAAGTCCAATGTGAAAGAAACCTTTAAAATTTTCATGATTTATTAAGTAGAAAAAAATAAATTAAAAAAAGAATTATGCAGAAATATAGAAATACTCTCTATTCAGTGTTTATAAGTTTCTCCATTCATTGGTAATTTGTTCTAAATGAATCTTTTTAATGTAATTCAAACCTCTTTTTTTTACTTCCATGGGTTAAATACTTCTGTTATTCACTTATTTTATATTGTTTGTTTTGGTATTTTTCACCATCCTGCTAAACCACAATATGCCAAAACATTAAGCATATTAAAATAAAAGTTAACTGAGTGAGAAATCTAAGGGTTGCATGCAGTGATGTGAAAATAATGATATATTTAAAATATTTAGCTATTACTAACACCTCTTCAACTTAAAACAAATAAAAAGAATTCGTGAAGAATAGTATAATCATCGTGTGACTTCAAAGCAAAAGAAAACATGTAAAATATTAATTATGATATGGTTGTGTCGCTTAAAAATAGGGTTCAACAAATTTAAATCTATGTATTAAAATATAGTAGATTTTTTCATAAATTTAATAACTTTCAAATATTTTAACTCAATGCAATTTTCTGCTGTATTTTTTTTAAAGAAACTATATTCTTTTTAATTTTCTTGTTGAAATTTTACGAAACATTAATGTGTTTTTTACTTCTAAAATTTTAATTAAAAATGATTGACTGTGGATGATTTTGTTTGTTGTGTGTGTTATTTATTTAATCAGAATTGGTTTATGACAAACTCTTTATAGAAGAAGAAAAAATATGGTGTATAAATATTTAATTCTCTGCATTGTTCAATATTAATACATTTTTGTAATTATAAAACAAGCTCCAACTTTATTGTGATAACTTATGAAATTATAATAATTATATGATGTGTTTACCATATCATATAATTATCATATCATATAGCATCATGATATTAATTATGATTATATNTAATAATTATATGATGTGTTTACCATATCATATAATTATCATATCATATAGCATCATGATATTAATTATGATTATATTTATAAAAGGCAAAATATTTGAAAGAGCAATAGTATGATGTATGATTATTATTAGTATGATTCTTAACAGCATCATGAAATCGATTGGTTACATTATCATGCTACATACTGATTGTGTGAAGAAAATATATTCTAAATTGTAAAAAATGATTAAGCTGTTGTGATTTTCCAATTATTTTTAGACACAGATGTTTCTGCTTTGTGTAAAGAATACTTACAAAGAACTGCCTAATTACTTGCATCTTATATTTGAAACACGACCAACTCCAAAAGTAAAGGATTTATAAGGCAGCTACGTTGGAACCTTCATTGAAAGAAACATTTACCATAACACCGATTCAAATTCAGACAAGTGAAAAAAGGCCCAGATTCAACTACTGAGATGGTGAGTAAAAATAATGTTAGCGTCTGTGAATCAGTTTTTTTTTAGTTATTAAAATAATTATTAGTTCATATGATATGAAAATTTCAAGTCTTGTGTTTAAAAGCCTTTTTAAATGCATGTAGATTAGATTATTGTATTTTTTCTCTTTCATTTCCTGAGTAAGCAATAAAAATAGTTATTTGGCTTAACCATTGTAAAATTTAAACTATTTGACGTAGCTTTGGTAATATTTAAAAATTAGCTTATTCACAAGTATAAAAGGGTTTCCATTCCTAAAAAAGCCTTAAATTTAAATATGGTTTTAGGAGCCCATTAAAAGGTCTTTTTTTTTCTTTCTAAACCTTCTTAAAACTCATTCATATTTTAATTTTGAGGACATCAATTGCAATTTATAATTGTTTTCATTATTATTCTGAATGCTATTAAATTTCAAAAATGATATTCAAGTGAAATAAAAAAAAGTTATCAAGTAACTTCATTTAAAAATTTAATGTGAGGAGCATTTTTTTCGTAATTTAATTCTGAAACGTGCTTGGAATCATTTTTTTTTTTGCTTAACTAATTCGAACTTCAGGTAAATTTTTAGTGGCATTTACTTTAACATCGCTTAAAAAAAATCATATATGCATGCTTTCAATCTGTATAATCCTTCAAAGTTAAGGAAAAATTTTACTATTATTACAATAAGTGCACTACCTTTTGACCTGAAAGGCCACATGCACAACAGATTGACCTATGAAGGGTTGCATGCCCAAGAATTTAGACAGGCATGTTGACAGCAATTATAGGTAGTAATTGTTTTATAAACATCATTGTTCTAGGCACTAAATTCCTTTTTTCAGTTAACCTTGTAATATATTTGCATTAAATTAAATACTTTTAAATGTTTAAAATTAAAAACTGATTACCCAGGGGAAAAAAACACAATCAGAAAATCAGAATCAATTTATGAGAAAAGGACAGATAACTAGAAATAAATATAAAAAAAAGGAAAAATTCATGTTTTTTTTAATTACATTACATAATGCAAGAGTCCATTTAAACACACATTTTAACATTAAAATATTTTAACTTTCATAGAATTAAATTTTTAAAAAAATAAATATTCTAGTTAATAAAATAAATGCAAGTTAAATTCTTTTATTTATGGAAAGTTTGTAGGAATAAAAATGATTAAAATTAAAACAAAACGCTTTCAGTGCAAAATAAGATTCAACATTTAGGAGGAAATATACTCCAACTTTAGAGCATTAATTTTAAATAAATTATAAGAGCAGGGACTGGAAGAGAGAAGCAAAAGAAAACATTAATTTTGATCTTCAGAATCTGTTTTTCAATTATTATTAAATAGTATCAATTTAATCTACTGATTTATCAACTTAATTACAATAACCAGAGCTGATTGTGCCCCGGAAAAAATCCAGATTTCCGGATTTTTCGCTAACAGTGATCCGGAATTTTCCATAGATCGAAAGTCGAGACGTCTCAAAAATCATTGATCACAGAATCTTCCGGAAATCAAATTTTCAAAGGTGGAACTTAAAAACACAGTTTATTTTGTTTGAAAGGGAGAGACAGATACATTTTTTATTGGTAAATAGTTATAATCATAAACTCAAGAAAGAAAGACATATTTGTAAATTTTAATTACTTCTGCAGGTCATCATAGGTATGTGTAAATGGTATAGTATGTGTAAAATTTTAAATATATTTTAAGTAAACTAAGAAATATTGAGAAAAAGGAAACAAACTTAGTTTAAATTTTTTTCTAGCTTTTCAATGTAAACATTTTTCTTTTTTTAAAAAGGAACTCAGGAAATTTTCTGGAATTTTGACTTGGGCTCGCAATCACCCCTGAATAACTTACGGAGCTACCTATGATTTTAACTTGTAATTATACTAATTTAGAATAAATAGATACTGTACAAACCTTAAAAAATTAAACTTTTTAAAATTTTTATTTAAGAGTTTTTATCCTTTTTTCGATGTCTTATCCCACAGTTTTGAATTACCTCTACTTGTTTAGTTTTTTTGTTGCATTTTTGATACGAAGTTTTTAAGAGTAAACTTTTTCTAAATTAAGCTGAAGATATTTTAATTTTATCGATAATAATGCAATAAATTTAGAATTGGAAAGCTTACTTTTCAAGCTAAATTTATGATGTTTCAATTTGAATGACTTACAAAAATTAAAAAATAACCTCATTGAAAAGACACTGTATTAGTGTATTATTTATTTAACTTACAGCATTACCTGTATTCTTTTACATTGGGTTAGTTCTCTGCCTTGGAGATTTTGGAACTTGCTCTTAGGTATTCTAGCTATATAATTCAAAAACAGAATTTTTTTTATTTGCTTTAATTTTGAGATAAATATTAGAGTTATTGAATTTTTTTTATTAACAAACAATTTTGTATTGAATTAAAACATTTTGAAAATAAACTTTAATTTTTTATGCAAGTAATTTCAATGGTACACAGACAGTTTTTTATTTTATCCTTTTAAATTCATATGAATTTGGAAATTTAAAATTTGATTGATGATAAAATTGAAGGATCAAGCCAGAATCAGTAAGAATGTTCATTAGGTTTCCAAAAATTATGAATTGTATTCAATTATTTTTTAAAATTTTGAATCTTTTCTTGTTTGTTTTTCTTGATAGAATTATTTAAAATATTGTTAAAAAAATTATTAAATTGAGAAAAATGATGTGACGTGAAAAATATGAACTGGATCATTCAAAAAGTCAACTTTCAAATGACTGTTTACTTTTCTGAAACCGACAGGACTTCAAGCAAGCTCCAAAAGCTCCCTGTCCCTGAACTCACTCATCCTCTTATAAATGTCATACTTTGTTGCTTATAATACATAATGAAGGCATAACAATTTATTGTATTGATAAAGTTTAATTGGTTGTTCTCTTGACCAAATTAAATAACATGATTCTCCAGTTTTATGTGTGTTTGATGAAAAATGCTTAGCTAAAAATTACAAAATTACTTTCTTCTATACTTTCTGGCATTAAAAATTGTTACTTTGTGATTTTTCTTTTTTTTTTTATATTGTTCATATATTTGATTTCTTTTACAGGTCAATTTAATCCCAAAGGCTACTATGTCCTTAAAGGCACTGGCAGAGCTACCTATAATTGTTGTCTTGATGTACCAGCTATATAAAATAAGTGTTCATAAAGATGTCACAGAATTTACACCATTGATAATGACAACTATTACTTTACAACTCACAGCTCAATGGAGGTAACTTAATTTTAATATTACTTACATATTTTTTGATAATAGCAAGTTTAATATTAGTGACTATGCTTCAATGTTGAAATAGGCTATGAAGTGATAAAGGTTTTAATAATTGCCTCTTTGTTTGCCAAATTACTCTTAGATGATAATTTATCCATATAAGATAACTGAGAAATCTCTGGAAGTATTAAAAATGTTCCACTTGCTTTAAATTCCAGAAATTGGAAGCAGTTTTCAGTTGATAATGATCATTGTCAATATTTACATAACTTTCGATTTATCTGGCATTGATTCTCATATTTGCTATAAACTATTTGCTTTATTAAAATTTTCTTGTATCTAAATAAAAACTAATTTAAATTTAGCTACATGAAATATCACTAAAATATATAATTTTGATTAATTTCAGGACAGTCATGAAAAAATAATTTTTTAATTTTATAGAAAATCTCATGCATCCAATAAAGTTTCAATTAATTCGCAGCATGTCCTATATAAGATAACAATAAAGTATTCTCTTTGATAAAATGCATCTCAATGTGGATATATAATTATTTAATTCTTATTCTGTTTGGATCAAATCATCTAAACTTAGAATGTATTTTTTTTTAAATATTTTACAACCAGCTCATAATTTAATTAAGAAATAGTTAGCCTGTGAAATCTTTGTCAATATCACAAGAATTTTGATATTTTTAAGTCTTTTTTTAAAATAAAAGCTTGTTAATATTTTTTTGATTAAAACAAATGCTGTATCCAAATGAAATCTGATTTATTTTATTGGTCTTAGTTTTTATTCTTATCTTTGATTGAAGCTGGAATATCTTTCCTTGTTCTTTGAAAAAGCTTGCAATTTGGGAAGAAAGCAGACAAAATGCAAAACGTTTACAGAAATTTTATTTTTTGTTTCGTTTTATTTTAGGAGCAATCCATCTTTCAACAAAGAAGTTTATGTTGACTTTATGCATGCACAGATAAAAACATTATCTTTTCTGACTTACTTAGTTAGAATATATCAGGTGAGTAGGTTAATAACTAATATCTTAACAATCATTCTCTATTTTTAAATTAAAAATAAAACATACTTGTAGTAATCAATTAAATTTAGTTTAAAATTCAACATTGAAATGACTTTACATTTACATTTTGGTTTTTGAAATTTGCTGCTTTTTAAAATCAAGTGTTCTAAAAACGGATGTGATTTTAATAGGCAGCATGCACTGTATTTATGTTTATATGAGTAATATTATCCTAAATTAATTGCAATTTTAATTTAAATTAAGATAATAATTTAATTTGATTTTTTTTTTGTAGAATGCTGTGAATGAACATTCTTCTCAGTTTGCTAAAGGAATGATAGGATTGTTGTGTCTATGTCTGCAAGAAGTGGCCCATTTGTGCAAAGAATTGCTTGTAGCAGCCTGTCATATGTCAGCCACAGATCTAAGAGATAGTAAATGCTTTTTTTTATTACCTAAATATGTCTTGTTTTTTCCCTTTGTTCTGAAACATGTTTTTTTTCCTTTATTTTTAAATAAATGACTTATTTTTTACAAATTTTTTTTACTTTAAATACCGTTTGAAAAATATTGTTTGAAATGTTCTCTGTGTGTACTAGTTCTCCTTATTTTTTGAGAAATTCTTTTATTTTTGTGCCATTNATGTTTAAATTAAGAAATATAATGTTTCATTTGAAAATAAATCCTTGTATAGTTCTTACGATATTACTTTTATTCAATAATGTAAAAGTCTAAAAAGTTTTTCTACATTAATTACTATTTCTTCATTTATTTATTCAAAATGAATTTAGTTTTCCTCCAAAAAAGTCTTACATGTCTAATCAGAACAATAAATAAAACTTCATTTTCTAAGTGAGTCAAGTTAATAAGCCTAAATATCCTATGAAGAATACTGCATTAAATATGTATGATGTAATTAATAAAAATTTAAAACTTTTTTGTTTTTTTCTTTTAGTTTATTTTGGTTTGTGGAAGTTAGAATTCAAATATTTAATTATTAGTAGAAATAGATAAACTATTTTTTTTTTAATCAATGTATTTTACTTGGAAATTAGGGGTCTTCAGAAACTGCTAGTTGCTATTTAGAGCATCTCATTTCCTTGGAGCTAAGCTTACCAAACTTACACATTTCTTCAATTCTTAAGTTTCACTTTAAACATAATTTCAACCCAAATTACTATTGTTTTAAAGAAAACCATTCTCTAAAAGATTCTGGGATGGCAATTGATATTTATTTTAGAATATTGACAGCTTGTGAGTCATTAAGGTGATAGTTTCGATTCTTGTGGCATTAAATTGCATTTTTTGCACCATTCCATTCTCTTACTATTCGGTTGAGTAAAATAAGAAAATTATATTGAAATTGAAAAATTCTCGAATCTTAAAACCAATTTATATGATTTTTGCTTTCGAAACTAGTAATAAATATTGTGTTTGTACAATATGTTTACTTTTTCTACCTTTATGTAAGCCTGAGAAATTTTTAGGATTATTTATTAACATTTCTGTTCCACAAAAATTGCATCATTTAAAAAATATACCTTATATCAAATTTATGTTTTTTATTAACGACTAAATATCTTCTTTTTTTTGTTGTTGATATTTCTGAAAGCTGAGGACTGTGTGTTTGATTCTGGTGTCTACAAGCATGAACTTTAAAAGATTTATAGAATAAAAAGATTTTAATTTTCAAACATTTTTTTATTTATTATTTTAATATAAATTGATAATGCTTGTAAAAATTTCAAAATTTCATAGTTCCAACTCAGAAACCGTCTATCAACTACATATATTAGAGATCTTTTATTGTGTGGTCTGTGGGCTAATAGTAGCACTTAGATTTTAGTTGCTCTTTAAATTATCTCATTTTGTTTAAAATAATAATAAACTGTTTGGAAAGAGGAAAGGGTTATCGAATGACAATTTTTGTATTGTAATGTAAGTGTTTTTATTTTCTTTTTGAAAAGTAGTGTATTTAGTATCTCAGTATCATAGTAATTTTGCCTATGCATTAATTGATTCTACTCTTAACTTTTTCTGAATTTTTAACAACCAACATTTAGTGAACTTTGTTTCAGCAGAACAAAATATACCTTTTTACTTTGTCGTTTGCCTTTTTCAAAATTAGTTTAGCCATGTTCTAGAAAATCTCTTGATTTTGTTTTTGTTTTTTTTTGAAAATTACTCTGATTTTTTCTTTGGTTCATTAAGAGATTTGGAAAATATATTCTAAATTAAAATTTTTTGTTAAATGTGTTATGTTTCACTGCTCTTTAATTGCCTTTACTGACTGTGGTATTACTTATTTTAATGTAAGAATCTTGTATATTTTTAGGCCTCTTGCTTATAGTACTTTCGCTAATCTTGCTCATCGTGGGAGACAATATTTATAGTTGAAGGATCTGGCTAAGGCTGTAAATGTGTTCTTAAAAAATGTTTATGATGAATCTTTCGTAACTACAATTCAAACAATGTCTTGTATGTTTATTCTGAATTTAGTTGAATGCATTAGAATAAGATCTGATCCATAAAATGGCAATGTAAGTTCTTTTTTTCTTATTAATTAAAATATAAATTTTAGGCCACTAATTAAATTTATTGTAATGCAAGACAATAATGCTTTTAAATTGTAAAGAATTTTTATTGTATGAATAATAGTTGCATTTTAATGAAATCATGAGAGTTGCTTGTGCAGTTAAATTTATTTTGCTACACTTCTTACGTCTATAAAAATATGATGTCAATAACCATGAGCATCTGGCAGGATATCAAAGCCTTATACTTTCAGCCATTTATTTTCACATTATATTCTTCTAGCTATGAATTTCAACTATTTTTACACTTTAACTATTCTTAAAGTGTATTTCAGTTCAGATTATTTCATGGTATTATAACTAGTTTATAATTCATGGTATTATAACTAGTCTGGTTACTGTACTCTGGTAAACTGTGCTTTGCTAACTGTTAAGTCTATAGTAGAAATTTTCAAGAATTTTTTTTGGAAAATTAGTAATTTCCATGAGAATAATATTTGTAGCTACATTAGCTCTGGTATGATATGTATGAAGCAGTAAAAAGTCATCTATGATGTTTATTATATTTTGAAGAAAAAAAATTATGCTTAATTTAGGGCCAGGAGTTGTTAAAGAGGATGTTTGAAGTTGTGGTTTTAAAATTTGAAACTATTTCAAAGCTGCAGCTGCCTGTCCTGCAGAAAAAAGTGTAGGCATACATTTACTTTTTGTTAAATTTATATAGTTGCTTATATTCACAATAAAATTTGAAATTGTAGAATCTCCTTAAAAAAAGAAAGAAAAATAATTTTCACTGTTTTTTACATCTATTGACTAGTATTAGTCATTTAGAGAAGAAAAAAAAGCTAGAAGGATATTTTCAATTGTGTAATATTGTCTTAACGAATACTAATTTTAATATTGTCTATATAATATATATTGTCTTTTATATTGTATTATATAAATATTGTCTTAAAGAATTTTATCTGTTCAGTGCTGATAACTGCAAATGCATTTTAGAAATCATTCTTGTCACACATATTTCTAATTAAACCACAAAGAATGAAACTTTTATTTTATTAAGAGGCATCCACTTTATTTTTTTAAATGCAAATAAATTTCTATCTATATTATTGCCAGCAAACATACGAGCAATTTCCTAGCAGAATTTTCCTACCTTACAACTACTTCCTTAGGTAAAATAATTTTTTTTTAAGTCACTTTTAGTCAGTTAAAATTAAAGATTCTCACGAACTATTTCTTCTATTCCTCCCTCATTATCTCATTAAGTTTACTCAGAATATAGTGAACACTCAGTTGTTGCGAACTCCCATTTAACATTATTTTATATGCTTATAGCGGATAGCTGAAATATTCGTAGTTTGTTTATAGTAATAAAAAAAATATCAGAACTGCATTTTCATATAATTAATACAGTTGAACCCCACTACAATGAACTCAGAATATAGTGAACACTCAGTTGTTGTGCACTCCCATTTAACATTATTTTATATGCTTATAGCGGATAGCTGAAATATTCGTAGTTTGTTTATAGTGTGATCTAATTTCACATTCCCATTTTTCTTTTTTATTTCTCTAACTTTAAATTTGCAGGAATTACGATTTCAAGTGACTGCATTTTTTTACTTTGTGTCAAAACTTACTCTTNTTTGTGTCAAATCTTACTCTTGCATGCTTTTTCTTTTAAAATTAGGGTAAACAATTTGTTAATAATAGGAATAACTAACTGGAAGGCCATGGCACAGAATATATCAAGATGACAAAAACTTATTGGGATGGCCTTGGCCTGTCATAGGCTGTAGTGCCCAAGAAGAAGAAACAAGTTGTTAGGCAGCATGTCCATCTTCTTACCTCTCCCTATATGTTGTGGGAGGATAAGAAATTTCAGCTTTTTTTATCTCAAAAGTGAAATTGTTATTAAATGTTCTGAATTTTTTCCCTGCAGAAAATGAGGATTAGAAAATACTAGGTTTTTTAATAATTATTGTTAGGAAAAGTGGTAAACTTTACTTAACATCGAATTGTATTCAATTGAGAAGTACTAATTTCTTCCATAGAATATAAAAATTATTTATATATTTTTTTAATATTTAATTTATTACATATTTTAGGAGTTAATTTATAAATAAATAATTTACTATCATAATCACGATTTCCAACAATACTATTGTCATATGTTAAAATATAATTTTTCAAGGAATTTGGATATAGTGAACTTCTGTTTCATAGTAGGACTCTTTGCTGGGTTTAGACAGTTAGCTATTCCGTGGTTCAATTCTACTTCCATATGCTTTTACGTTTTTATTCTTTAAAATATCAAAATTCTTATAGGCTGAGAAAAAACTTTAATTGTCTGGGAGTTTTATTTAGAGAAAAAAAGAGTTGGAGAAATACAATGTTAGGTTGGAATCTGGAAAAATCTTTCAACAGACCTAGAAACTAAACAACCTATTTCAAATTGGACTATAGTACTAAATGGCCATTAAGGTTGAAAGTAAATAAGTCCACCATCTGTTTTTATTTTTTGTTGTTAAATTTCTGTAGTTTGTTGAATTTTTGAGAATTATCAAAATTAGAGTACTGATTTGTGTTATGTTTTTATAATTGTTTCTTTAGCAAAAAAATAAATGAGGTAAAATCAGATCTGCATTTTCCAATAGTCCTGCAGTGGACTGATCATTAAGACTAGGTTCCCAGCAGATCACCGAAGACAAGCATCACTGGCTGCGGTCAGTGTGCTGGTGGGTGACCGGTTGGATCAGACTGCGAAGGGACCGAGGATTTACGGTTTTGGTCCTCAGTGAAACTGTTCTACCGTAAAGTGTTCGACTTTGCTTGCTGGTCATTGGGCTACCGAAGCGAGTGTGCCATCCCCTCTACAGAGGATTAAAAGTGCGATGGCTTGTCTTCGGATCATCCTCAGGGATGTTTCCCAGACCGTCGCCAGCAGCTCTAATGCAACGTAAATTAACTACAACTACAACAGCATTTTCTAATTATTAAATAATTAGAAATGCTTGCATGTGGTTTTGTGTTTTTGTTCTTAAAAATATCAGGGTTTTCCCTGGAGAAGGAAGACCTGGAAATGTCTAGGAATTTTCCTTAGGGAGAAAAGAGTCGGTGGAATGATGCAATGTTTGGCCAAAACCTAGAAAAATTTTGTAACAAACCTTGCATATAAGTAACTAATTTCAAAATAAATAAGTCCAATATCTATTATTTTTATTTATTATTTATTTATTTATTTTTTTGTTAAAATTTTGCTGTAAAATAGTTGAATCTTTTTAGAGCATTTTTTTGGGGGAGAAAAGAGTCGGGGGGGATGATGCTAAACTTAGAATGTTTCAAAATTTTTTAAACATTTTGCAGGACCTTGAGTGTAAATAACCAATTTTGAAAATTTGCAGTAACAATATGTAGCCAATGAATTTCAAAATAAATAAGTTCAATTTCTATTACTTTTATTTATTAAAATTTTTTTGTTAAAAGTTTACTGTAACATAGTTGAATCTTTTTAGAACATTGAAATTAGAATGTTAATTTGTAAAAAATACTTGGTTTAACAATTTATGGTTTCAAATTTTTTCTTAAATATAACTATAAATCCAAATCAACACTAAAAAAGTTCTTGAAAATTAAGTTTTCTATATAAATAAATGTTGATTTTTAATCATTAGTAAGAAGTTTGATAGCAAGCTGTATGATTGATATGACTCTATTAATAAATTATGTTTCATTGAGTTTTTCAGTTTCTAGTTTTTATGCGAAATATTGCTTTTGTCTATAATTTATAGTTATATTTGTGTAAAACCCTTTACCTAGGGAAATAAAATACATTTTACAAAATTTTATATTAGGCATATTTGTTATTGATAAATTAGTTTGAATAAAAAAAAAATTTAATATTTCTAAAGAAATATTGTTTTGTGTAGCAATAAAATAATCTTGAAATTTTCTTGAAAACCTGGGCAAGTTAGAGAATTTTAATTCTATAACTGAATTGGAACCTTGAATATATTTGATATTTAAAATTTCCATTTCTGTGTATTTGTAATATTTTTTTTCAATAATAGCAGAATCAATAATTTTTCACTCTGCATTCAAACAAAAGTTTCTATGCTAGAATTTTGAAACAACAGTATTTAAAAAGCAGGCTAAAATATTTTTAGTATCTTTTTCTTCCTAATTTTTAACATATAGTATTTTATACATTGTGTGAAAAACATTTTGTGCCATCAGTAATAATTTTATGATCAACTTTAAGAATATTTTATTAATTTTTGTTCCTTGACATTAATTGTATGTGTACCCATCCATATATGTCTTGACAGAGCTCAGAAGTTTCAGGTTCATAAGTATAAGTTTAAATAAAATGAAGCAAAGTATATTTTCTATAAGAGAAATTTCTTAATAGTTTATTAAAAAATGTTGGAATAGATTTCAAGAATGCATATATAAACTTACATTTTTATTCATTCCTCGAAATAAGGAAACAGGTATGCAAAAAAAAAGGTCTATCATTAAGGTGTTAAAAGTGCTGTAGTCACACAAACACATGAATGCTTCAGTACATTTCATTAAATCATTATTTATTAACTAAATTGTTGTCTTGTTTAATAAAAAAATTGTTGTCTTATTTGTAATTTTTTAATATTAGTGAAATGTTTCATTGCTTTAAATGAATATATTTTCTAATAGTTTTCTCTAATTTCAGACCAAATTTTGTTTTCCTGCTTCTCAGGCAGCTAATTATGACATAGCAGAATATAGAAGCTTAGTCACAACTTTAGTATTTGCAGCAAAAACAGTTACTTGGGGACGACTTGTAAGTTTTCTGGCGGTAAGCTTTATTTACACCTTTCTAGAAAATTTTGTTTTAATATGACTATAGGCATATCCATAACCTAAATTAAGTGTTTAAAAATGTGATTTTTTTTTCACTTGCAAAGTATCTATATTATTTGATTTTTCTGTTATGATGACGTATCCTCTAACATTTAAATATTGTACAAAATATATATATCAATGGTAGTGAACTGAATTAAAAAATTTAAAGCAAATAAAACTTTTATAAAACTTTTACCAGAACTTTAGAGCTCAACCGTTTCTTTATATGAGCTTTAATATATCTATTTAAATTATGTAATTATATTTATATGAAATGGTCCCTGAATTATTAAATATACCCTGGATGATCTGCTTGCCCCTGCGAGTACACCTGACTAATTTTATCTGGTTTTATTTTTTAAACTTTCGACTTTTAGGTTTTCTGGTTTTAAATATCTGCTTTTAATATTTTACCTCAGCACTTACCTTTTCCATGACTTTGTTTTTCCCTTGAACTGGCATCTTCATTATACATAGGACATTCGAAATGAAATCTTACTCTTGGTCAACTTCAGCACCCTCTGTCCTACCTGGTGTCATCTTTGTGTGTTTATCCTTTTAGTGAAACTTTGGTTTAATTTAGAACATTTTTAATTTTAGAGGCACTTAGCCTTGAAAGGGAGACACTTGAACTTTTAATCGACTATTTTAAATTATTCTATTAATCTTATTTTAGTCTTATTTGTTTCTAATGTGGTTTTTCATATTTTACCATTTGATGTTTTACCTGACCTTACTTTTATATGTTTTTACCTGTATTTTTGACACTTTTATTGTCGGTTGATTTTATCTACTTTGATGTTTTAAGCACTTAATTTTTATACTTTTAAGCACTTTTATTTTTCGATTTTGGGATTTTTCCTATGTGTTTCAATCTTCTTAATTTTGTTCTTTTACTTTTCTGTAGTTTTGTAGTGTTTAGTTCACGTGCAAACGGGTGAAACCCTTATTCGCAAATTCGTTCGGGTGTAGGTCGGTTACTATTGGTCTTATATGAAATGGTGAAAAATTCTAATTTATTAAACTCATTACCTTTGACTCCACTTGAGAAAATGCATTCTAAAACTATAGTAGTTGAAAGGTATGTATTGAGGTTTAGAAACATTAACCATAGTCAATATTTATTCAAAGTACCTAGATTTTTTTCATAAACATTTTAATTATATCTTTTCTTACAAGTTTTGTTATCTGGTGTAGCGTAGCTACCACTAGAATTATTCAATTCCAATTCACTTGTATATAAGACATGTTAACTCAATTCTGTCTAGAGGTAAATTTAGATAGATGACAGCTGACATTGTCAGTAGCTTATACCCACACTGGATTGAATTTTAAATGAATTATAATGCGAAAATGATAACAGCAATCAATGAGCTTCAGGTCAGTCATCTAGCGTTAAAGGTCAGACAGAAAAACGATTTCATGTTAGCCGTCAGAAAATTTTATAAATGTAATTTCCGAATATGTATTAAATATCGAATTAATATTTCGGAATATCTTTTCTTTTTTCATTGAAAAAATAATTATAGTCAAATGAATTAAGTTGAAGGTAATTAAGGTTCTGTTGAATATAATTACCTTCAGTAGCAAGTCAGTTTTTGCTACATTTAATTAAATAAAATTAAACAAAAATTATACCATAATATTTTTTAGTTATTTAATAAATAGGGAAATTGTGTTCAAAATAATTATCTCTTATTTAACAATAAAGGAAGTATTCTTTTCTTATGTGAAAATGACCCTAATATGGTACTACCTGGAATGATATTTTTTCCTACTTACCTTATCTCTTAGATAGTAAAAATAAGCAGAATTTAAAATGTGGTGATACTAATAACTATAAATTTTTCTGAGCTTAGTCTGTTTGTTTCCCTATCTGTTTTTTGGTTCAGTTCTTAAAGTGTATCAGAAACTCAGAGATAGTTTTTTTTTTTTTTTAAATTAAATAGATATAAATTATTTTTAAGTATCACATTTAAAGGTATATAGGCATATATACCTTTAAAGGTATAAGGCATGTAGCCTTTTTATATTTTCTAGTTTGACTTAATTTTTTTTTCTTGTGTCCATAAGTTATTAAGCTGTTAAATTTATTTATTAATTGATATTCAGAGAATATTTTAATAAAGTAAATACAATTGTAACTTTTCTTGGATACCATCTTTTTCAAGTTAAGCATAATTTTTGATTTAGATATTTAACATTTTGCATTGCATCACAAATTTTTATGAATAATTTGACTTTTTGAAACAACATATAAGTACTTATGAATTTTTTTTTCTTATTTTTCCTATTAATTTTATTATCAATATATAAAATGTGTATTAAACTTTCAAATTGCATGACAGTTTCAAAAGCACTCTTTTATTTGTATCTNTAATTTTCTTTATATTTTTAGGCTATATTTGGCTTATTTTAATGCTTTAGAAGATTGATATTAATTTTAATGCTAAAGAGATATTTCAAACTGTTTTACATATTCTTCAATGTGCATGCTTTATTTGAATCGCATTAAACCATAGTTTATCAAAACTATTTAAACAAATTACTTTAAAAAAGTAGTTTTTTTAATTTTTGTTATGTGAATTTGTAAAATGTTTATGTTTGTTATTTGTAAAATATGGCCATACTCATCCCTTTTTCTATATTAATACATTTAAAATTGCATGCCTCTATGATTTTTACAAAATCTCACTTTGACTATAGTTTTTTTTCCCTTCATTTTTGCGGTTCGATGTTGTAACACATAAAAAATATAGCAAATAACTAGTAGCATACTTTCTTAATCTTTTTACAACATTTTTTTGTGCTATGTTGCAGTGCTTCTGCTGTCACCATATTGTATAAGTATAAAATTTGATAGTAATATATTCCTCTGGTAAAAATTATATAGTTTTCGAAATTATAAGAAAATTTCTAGGATTCCATTCTTCTTAAAGAAAAAGTGAATGTTATCCGTGTTTCTTCTATCATGCTATCCTCGTATGCTATAAATTAGAGTTATTTTTTCATTATCATTATAAAAATTAACAAAAGAGTAGCTGCATTATTTTTTGTGTTTCATACTATTTCTTTAAAATTTAGATACTATTTTTGTCTGAACATTTGACTTGCCATTGCTATTTTTTTAATAGGTGTTTTCTATCAAATTATTAATTTAATTTTATTCCTTTATTTAAATTGTTTCAGATTCAAACACTAATTCAAGTAAACAGTACCAACCTAAAGAAACTCTAGTTTTTATTGGATTGATTAAGTATGCTCTGCAAACTTTGGATATTTATAAGTTAACAGTCCCTACTCCTGGAGAAGCTGTTCAGCAGCGACCAATGACGTAAGTATTGTGTCAATTGTTCTTATTTTAAATTAATTTTTCTTCCATGTACTGTAGACCATCAATAGGTCTGCTTATGTGCATTCTTACTTATGTGCTTTTCTTCAGAGCATCCCACTTTTGCTCATTGCAATGTCCTGCATTTCACTTTAGAATTCATGGCACTTATTTGTTTTTTCTAACCATCATTGATCAGCTGACTTAATTTTCAGCTTACGACTACTAATGTTAAACTCCGTCACTTTGTAATTTTGAACCCAATCCAGAAGACGAGAACTCCAGAATCAAGTATTGTAGTATCATGTAGTTTATGCCTTCTTGGAGGACTTTTTGATGGAACTAACCCGCATTTGTTTTGCATGGAGAGGAAAACAAAGAAAACCTGCCTTGGTTAGTCTGACGGCAAGGGGACTCTAACCCACGATCTGTCTACCACAGATGATATTTTGTGTCAGCGCTGTGGTCGATGCAGAAGTGGGTACAGAATTCATATCCACCAGCCATCTCTGGGATTTGAACCCTGTTCACCTCATTGGGAGACGAACCCTCTATCCACTGAATCTTCATTGTCTCTAATATTGTTCAGTGTTACCCAGTCAAATTTTATTTTAAGACCATTTAAAGTGTTGTTCTTGCCCTGCTTGTGTGATTTTAATATAAATGTGGCATTGCGCTCATGATAATCAAATGTGGAAATGAAATCACTAGTTTTTCTCGCTTTTTGTTTCTCTGAACTGATTTTCTTTTCTTTTTTCGCTGCCATGTTTAAATATGTGATTTCTATGGTAGTCATCAGTATCATTACTAAAGTAGAAACCTAACAGGAAAATATTAAAAAAATTTCTATTTTTATTACTCTAAAAATCCCTAAAATTCCTTATGCGTAAAATATTTAGTACATTATGCAAAAATTATCATGAAATTTATGATATTTTGTAAACTCTACTGGATTTTTTCCTATTTGTGTTGGCAGCTATGCTGATGGATAAAAAACTAATATTTGATTATATATTCAAATCACTTATGTCATCGAAAATAAGTGCTTGAAAAATAAGAACTATACAAATTTCTTGCCATTTTATTTTTTGAAACTTACTGCCATGCAGTAATAATAAAAAACAAGTTTGTTAAAGCTGGGAGCGTTAGCTGGGTTAGAGATATCTATTAGATTTAAAAACATCAAAACTATCTCAAAATTCTTTTGTTCATAGTTAAACTTTTTATATATATATTCGTCGTTGAACAGGCGATTCAATTTTGGGTTTACGACTACTGCTAATGTTCAACTCCGTAGCCTTTGTGACTTGTTATTTTGAAACGATTCGGAAGACAATGAAACTCCTGGATCAGTACTCCCAGAGGTATGATTTGTTATCTGAACATGGAGGACTTTGTGACTCGAAAGATTTAACGTGCATCAGTCACCATTTACTGCACTGGGAGTCTTCGGCCAGCTGAGATCGAACCCACGAACTCTTATACAGTGCCTTATCAACCAGGCTACCCCAGCCTCCTAGTTAGACTTTGTAAAAGCGAAGCATTACATAATTATTGAGTAGCAGTAAACTGTAACTCAAAATTAACTATGCATTATTTAAATTATTATTAAATACTGATCAAAGTGTTTAAAAATAGTTAGTTTTTTCCTTTCTCATTTAGTTAGTCTAAAAACTAGACATTGCAAGGTAGTTTTGTGTTAAACAACTAAGACAATGGCGTTTCATCAAGCTGTAATTTCTGGAGTTTTCTTTTTTAAGATATATTTAAAAGAAATAGCTGCTTTTACAAATGACTCAAAACTGTTATGAGATTTAAGGATAAAGTTATTAGGGGTCTGTCTAGGTTTTTTTGAGAGGTACCTATTTTGTGAAAATTTAGGCATAATTTGTGAAAATTAAAAGTTACATCAAAAAATCAACACAAAAATATGGTAAAATAAGAAATTATTTTCAAAAATTGTCACTACAAATAAAANTCATACAGAAAAAAGTTTCACAGGGAAAAAAATGTTTTATAAAAAAATAAAGATATGTTAGAATAAATTTACAATGATGTTGAAGATAATATTCAAATGTTTAGAATGATGTTTGAATTTTGACTTCCTTTAAAGTTCATAGAGAGAGAATCTCATTGTTTCATTTTAAAAAAACTCTGGGATTTATAGTTTTTTTTTATGGGGATATAAAAACAAATATGGAGAATCTTAGAACTTACTTATTTTAAAGTATTTTGTGAAGATACCGGTAAATTTGCCCTGGATAGACCCCTGGTTATTCTTTGAGTTTATGTAATTAATTTTCTATATAGTCATGCATTTTAAAAGTTATTTAAATTATCTTAAAATTTCAGGATTTCAATTGGTGTGTTAAGCAAACATTTTAAATTAAATGTGAGTGAAAGTATAGTTAGATATTTATTTTATTTAGTTTTTAAAATTTTTTGAGTGCAATAAGTGTTTTTGATGTTTAGTCTCTCACAATTCTAATTCTTATTCATACTAGTTGTTAAATATTTAATCTTTTGTTATAAATTTGAATGCAACATGTTCATTATTTTATTTTATAATATGTTTAATTGTTAAGTGTATTTGTAATATGTGTAACAATAAGTGGCCATTATTTTAAACTTTATTTTAAATCAGTTTTACTTGTAAAACCAGTTTGTACTTGTTATGAACATTGGTTAATACTTTAAGCATAGGTATAGTTTGTCTACAGTATGAACTCCCTCACCACAAAATCTGTGGCCGTCTGCTGCTATGGAACCAAGAATAGTACATTTCAGGGAGGGTAGCTTTTCTTCATTCTAGGGCGAAGAAAAAGATTCCCTTTCTTTCGTCGACTCAAGCCAAAACCTGTCCTAAACAACAACCCCACACTCCTACTACTACACACTACTTCAAATAATTATACTTTGTTAACATATAGATGGCAGCACTTTTTAAAAAATTTTTACTCATTGAATGTTTTTCTGTTTTATTTTTTCAAGATCTTCAAAAAAGGGGTCAGCACTTGATTTATTTCTAAATTTTTCTTACTGATTTGGCAATTTATATTTTATTTTGATTTGGCTATTCTAATTGTAACTTTATCTTTATTTATTTTTCTTATGTGTGGGCGTCTCTTTATTAGATCTTACTCAGTGAACCTATAAATTGTGATTGTTTGTCATTAATTTTTCTCTGCATTTACATTGCAATTTTTCCAATTGCTTCTTTTTATTTGATTTTCCATTATGGAGCCTCAAGGACACTCTCAGTTTTTGATTTCACCACTGACAACAGAAAGGCTCCTGTATGTTAACAGGCAGTGTGTCCCTTTGATGAAGTGCTAACACACATATCTTAAAATTTTCGTTGTTTTCTGCTAGAATTGTATTTCTGACTTTATAAATTAAAATAAAGCAAATTTAGATTCAGCTGCTTTAGTTTTATTCTTCGATTAGACCTCAATACCATAGTCACCTCCACAGGCCCAGACAAATGGTATGGGGAATTCTTACTTTAGGCAAACTATATAAAGCAATGTTTTTAGCGGTTAATATAAGATGGTGGATTTTAAATGTCTAAGTGTTTAATATTTAGGTGTAACACATGAAAGTCGCACTATCTTATTTAATTTATGAGCTGAGGCATTAATTGATGTCTTTTGACCAGAAAAAGGCAGTGAATGCGTCATTCATTAATGATAATTCTTTTCATAAAATTTTCTAAAACTTTAAAAATTTTTATTTATTTTTATTTAACATATATTTTTGGAATAATTTCTAACATAGATAAACGGTTGGATAGTTGAATAAAGACCTATGTGGTTTGAACCAAACAGTTGTTTTTAAAACTATTTTATATAGTTAAATTTTATATCGTTCATATAAATTCATTCAGTTTAATTGTAACAATAAGAAAAGAATATTTTCTTCCAATTTTGAGCTTAATTTCTAGTGGGAATCTGTATTATTTCAAATAAACATAGAAGAAGATTTAAACTAACATTGTTGGCATTTCAACCCGGAAGAAACATACAGAATATCTGCAATAATATCTGCTGGAGAATTATGAAAATTCATGAATTTCGGTATTGAACTAAATTTGTCATGATTTTAATTATTTTTTTAAAAAAATCATGGGAAGTCATGGATTTAGTTTGCCTATATAAAATCTAATTTTTAAAATTGAATTCCTCCCCCTCTCCCAATTTCATGATGTTCACAGAAAAATCAGGAATATTTCTTTCCTTTCAGATGAACAAGAAAAGTATCTTGGTTCAACTCTATCTTTACTCTGTTTTTTAAATTCAAAATCTGTAAATATGAAGATGCAGAGTATAACAGTTTTGGTTATGGGTATCATTTCAATTAATGTTATTACAATGCTTTTTTAAATTTATTGTTTTTGTATATAAAAGAAATATGTAAGAAAATAGTAACTTCATTAAGTCATGAAAAATTCTTGGAATAAGTCATGAAAAGTCATGGATTTGAAAATCAAAAATGTAGCAGATACGCTGAACATATTTCTTCCAGGACAGTGAAAGAAACTGAATAAAAAGAGGAAAAAATTAAAAATGACAAATACATTTGTTTAACAATAAGTATTATATAATTCATATGTAAGCAAATTAAATTCAGTATAGTTAGAAAAAGTTTAAAGTTTGTCACATCACTTTTAAAAAAAATATTTGTTAGTTTTAAAGAGAATTTTAAAATCTATTAATCATATTATTCAGGGGTTGGTTTGGGTATTCATACTTAACATTATTTGATAATGGAAATTATTATGCTATTTGTAATTGTGAATTCAATATATGATTTTAATAGTATGTATGTTTAATATCTGATTTGTTTATTTAGTGGTATTGATAAATTGATTATGTTCTTTTAAGAAATATAAAATAATGTTTTACATAAAATAAAATAATGTAAACCTAAATTCTTTTTTATAAAATATTAAAAAATTTATTTATTTTAATTGTTGAAGAAATTCAAAATTTTTTTCTTCTTGT